TGAAATGACTGAAATGACTGAACACAGACACAGTGATCACTGAACGACTAAACTTTTGCAAGGCAATCACTGAAACGACTGAACACGGACACGGTCATCACTGAACGACTGAACTTTTGCAAGGCAATCACTGAAACGATTGAACACTGACACTGCGATCACTGAAACGACTGAACATTGACACGGCGATTACTGAAACTATTGAACACTGGTAAGGCAACCTCTGAAGCGTCTCGCATGGTTTTATTGAAGCGACTTAGAACCCTGAAAACATCTGCTCACTAACGAGACGATCCCTGAAATGACTGAACAATGACACGACGAGCACGACGCTATTTCATTTTACTAAACTATTAATAGCTTTGAAAAAGTTGCTAATAGTCACCGCGCACGTCTTTTAAACAGTCGCTTGTAAAATAAAGATAAATACGACTTTTATCAAATGTCAGATTAATGTCGGTCTCTATGTATAATTGCTGTGGTTGACTGCGATATGATAGTGTTTTGTCGAGTTTATAAAACGAAACAAAACCCAATTGTCATGACTTTTTTTTTTCCTTTTTTTTTCACAAATCACACGCGTCCCCTGTTTACCACATGTTAAGTATAATTTATGGAATGCGTGATAAGCCAAATGATGTCATCTTCAAATGTAAGTAGTGTATTATTCCAGTAAAGTGCTTACACGTGTTGTTCATATGGGAAGAAATTTATGATCGGCTACGAACTCGTGCGAGCGGATAATGAATTATATCCACTGGTAGGGGAAAGAAAGAAAGAAAGACATCTTTACGCATTATACTATTCACTGGCATTTACACCTGAACTGCAACGCAGTTTGGCGGAGAATTACTAAATTGATGTGTCCAGACTAAAGGGCGCCACCAACGTCGTTACAACCATATGACAATTTTGATATGATATTTTTGTTTGCCGCAATGGACGCCGGGAACCATCGACAAAAGTAAAATTGTCATATAACGGTAAAATATTATCGTAATTATCCTATTTACAATAAGTAGCTATCATTGTTTGGATTTCGTATGTACGCATACAGCCTATTTCAAATACTGTTACTTAAATAAAGTCTTTACAATAACTTCACCAGGACGACGAGTAAAACAGATACAGACAATCGTATCTTAGCATCGTGAAAACAAATGATAATCACAGTCTCAGTAAATATATTTTCAAATGCTTCACATAAACAAGTGAAGTTATTCTTTATATTCGTTATTTTTGATCTCAAAATTGATGAGGATATATGGTTTTAGATGAACGGATAAACTACAGCGGCGATGGGTAACTTTACAATTATTTATTCGCCATGAAAGTTTCAATTGCCAATGTATCTTCGATACCAACATTTCATTTTGGAAACACGTGATATTAGTGAAGGAATCCGTACTGCTATGCGATCACGTGATATTAGTGAAGGAATCCGTACTACTGCCCGATCACGTGATTTTAGTGATTCAGAAGGAATCCTTTCTACTTTCCGATCATGTGATATAAGCGAAGAAATCCGTACTGCTGTCAGATCACGTGATATCAGTGAAGGAATCCGTACAGCTGCGTGCCCGATGATAGTCTAGTTAAACAGTGCATGT